CGAGGTCCAGGTTGGTGGTACACCACCACAGAGTCCCCAACCACGAAGAGTCACAAAACAAACCCTCCAAGGGGCTACACTAAGTGAAATGTAACACTACACGAAGTAGCGTTACTATTTTCACTATTTAATATTTATCCGCGTCCCTTGGGCTTGAAATCTTGATCTCTTGGTCTTGGTTCTTCAAGATAAATTCTTCTTGAGTTGATGGGGGCTTGCTGCGCACACCTGCGACGCGATGGACACTTCACACTCGACAAAATAGAAAAACACATGCGACACGCAAACGACGACTTGACATTCGAGTTGTAAAAACTCACTAATGTCTTGACCGACACACACCACATTGTGAGACACCATTCAAACACACACACAAGCACTAGATAGCAATGACATAGACTCACAAGTCATTCCATGCCATGCATGCACACACACAAACACGGACGACAAGCCGAGTGCAAGCCATAGGGTTGCACCAACAGTCACACGCAAGATGCTCTTGGGCCTTGCTCCTGCAGACCTCACATTTGCCAAGGTCTCATCCGCGCTCCTTTCTGCCGAAAAGGACAACAGCGCTCAAGCCAAGGCCAATGCAATCCGCGCTCCCGTGCCTCAAGCCTATGCCGCTTCGGCGCCATTCCAGCGCAACCGCTTCCCCCCGTGTCCCTATGTCATAAAGCGCGGCCCTCGTGCTGGCCAGGCGTGTGGCGGCACCAACCACGCCCTTGCCTCCTGCTTCACGAAAAAGGATGACGATTGGTATGCCGTCAATGGGACCGCCTCGAAGCCGCCAAGCTGGATGGTCAATCGTGCTCCTCGCAAGGTCAATCAAGTCGAAGCGCAGGAATTCGTGTAGGCTGCTGTAGCTCCCACTGCTGATGTGCGCCTCAACATGTTGTTCCCTGGCACTGCCATGATTAATGAGACAATTTTGCAGTGTCCCGGCTCACAAAGCACCTCAGCCAGAGAGAACCCGACCTTTCTGACTCCTCGCACAAAAGAAGAAGCTCTCTTGGGGCCTTATAAGAAGGAGTGGAAGGCAGCAATGGATGTGGAGAACGAGGCGTTCATTCGCAACAACAGCTTTGACGATGTTGTTCCCCCTTCCGGTGTCAACGTCGTCGGCGAAAAATGGATCTTCCGAGTCAAACAACTCCCAGGCGAAGCTCCACTGTTCAAGGCACAATACGTGGCAAAGGGTTTCACCCAGAAGGAGTATCTCGACTTCTTCGAAACATTCTCGCCCACGGCCAATCTCCCGACTGTGCGCGCTCTTCTTGATATAGCCGCTCACGGCAACTTCGAGATCAGGTCCATGGACGCCTCCTCCGCCTTTCTCCAAGGCCAGCTCAAGGAGGATGTTCACATGGAACGCCCACCGGGGTTTCCTGGCACTTACCCTGCCAACACAGTGTGGAAGCTGAAGCGCCCAGTGTATGGCCTCAAGCAGGCTCCTCGTGAGTGGCACAACAAGGTGAAGGAAGTCCTCCTCGCACTTGACTTCCATCCCTCTGCCTCAGATTCCAGTCTCTTCGTTCGTCACTCCTCCGAGCCCTTCTACATCCTCGTCTACGTCGACGACTTCATTCTAGCCGCCAGAGATCCAGCCGACATGGCAGCTGTCCAGTCTGCTCTCAGCTCCGCCCTTCTCATGAAGGATCTTGGTGACCTCAAGAACTACCTGGGGATGGAGATCACTCGTGACCGCCAGGCTTGCACGATCACCCTCTCCTAGGAGTCCTACATCGACAACCTTCTCAAGCGGTTCGATATGGACTCCAGTAACTCTGTCTCCACTCCACTCCCACTACAGCATCAGCTCACGGCCCCTCCAGTTCCTTCTCCTGACGCCTGCAAGGACCCGTACCCTGAGCTAGTCGGTTCACTCATGTATGCCATGATGTGCGCTCGACCAGACTTGGTTTACCCGGTTAGTGTCCTCTCTCGGTACGTCTCCCCCAGACGCTACACTGCCTTGCATTGGTCTGCAGCCAAGAGGGTCCTCCGCTATCTACAAGCCACCAAGTCCCACATCCTCACTCTTGGTGGTACCTCTCCAGTCAAGCTCGAGGGATACACAGACTCCTTATGGGCCAATGACCAGACTGACAGACGCTCCTCCCAAGGGTACTGCTTCACCCTTGGTAGCGGAGTCATCAGCTGGCGCTCCACTCGGTCCTCTGCAGTCTCCCTGTCGTCCTGCGAGGCCGAGCTCTACGCGGGCACAATGGCTGCTCAAGAGGCACGCTGTCTCTCCTTTCTCCTCGCTGAGTTAGGCTACCCCCAGCAGTCGCCCACCTTGTGGTGTGACAACCAAAGCGCCATTCACCTCACCAAGGATCTTGTGTTCCACTCTCGCACCAAGCACATCGAACTTTGTCATTTCTTCATTTGAGATCTTGTTCAGAGTGACCAGCTGACGGTACGGTACATCGCCTCAGATTGCAACCTCGCCGACCTCTTTACCAAGGCTCTCGGCAAGGCTGACCACCATCGCCTT